GCCATCGATGACATTCTGGAAACAGCTCTGATGAATGTAAGTAATGGTGGTGTGGATCTGTTGCCTGGAGAAAGACTTCTCGACCTTGAGTATGCGGACGATATTGTCTTACTGTGCGATAATGCCCAAGGCATGCAATCCGCACTTAATCAGTTGGCAATGAGTGTCCGTAGGTATGGTATGTGCTTTGCACCTTCGAAGTGCAAAGTACTCCTACAAGACTGGCAGTATTCTAATCCTGTACTCACCCTGGACGGTGAGCAGATAGACGTAGTTGAGAAGTTCGTGTATCTGGGTAGCTGCATAAGTGCTGGTGGGGGTGTGAGTGATGAGATCAATGCACGTATAGTGAAAGCCAGAGCGGTTTATGCCAATCTGGGCCATCTTTGGCGCCTTCGTGATGTTAGTCTGGCCGTAAAAGGTCGGATCTACAACGCGTCGGTGAGAGCAGTTTTGCTCTATGCTTGTGAAACCTGGCCTCTCCGAGTTGAGGACGTTAGACGACTCTCTGTGTTCGATCATCGCTGTCTCCGAAGGATTGCTGACATTCAGTGGCAACACCATGTCAGTAATGCAGAGGTTCGGCATCGTGTGTTCGGGCACAGAGATGATAACTCAATTGGTGTCACCACCTTGAAACACCGACTTCGGTGGCTTGGATATGTTCTCCGAATGTCGTCCCAGAGAATTCCACGTCGTGCATTATTTGCCGACTCTGGGACTGGTTGGAAGAAGCGGAGAGGTGGTCAGTGCATGACATGGTGTCGTGGCATGAAAGAAAGCTGCAAAGGACTGGCTTGTGTTGGTCCTTCACGACTCCCTGGCTGGGGTCCGAGAGATGGTGCTACACAGTGGCTAGAGACGTTATCAGATATGGCTCAGAATAGAAGCCAGTGGCGATCCTGCTGTAACCTTCTTTTACTTTCTTCATAAAAAGTGGTTGTGTCTCCTTTACCTGAAAGATTTCTTCTGATTGTACCTCTTCGTCATTACTCTCTTTTTCTTTTGTGTTCCTTAGTTTTTTTTCTTTCTACTTCTCTTCGAATTCCCATTGTTTTGTGTGGCGCATATATATTGGCGCTCTCTTGTACCAATATTTATGTGTTCAAATAAATAAATAAATAAATAGGTTACTGGTATTTGATCATAGGTGTCTTCGAAACATTGCTCGTATATCATGGGACCATCGAGTAAGTAACACAGTTGTTAGGACACGGGTACTAGGTAAGGATGGCAAATCAATTGATGAAGTAGTGAAACTTGATCAGTTGAGATGGCTGGGACACGTGTTACGTATGCCCAACCACCGACTGCCTCGACGTGCTATGTTCAGTGGTATAGGAGTAGGTTGGAAGAAAGCTAGGGGCGGCTAAACCAAAACATGGCACAAGTCCATGAAGTCACTGACAAGTGAACTGAGTCATGTTGGTAGGTGTAGACTACCTATTTGGGACCACGAGATGATAGCAACCGATGGTTAGAGACCTTGAATGACATGGCTCAAAATCGTTTGCAATGGCGCAGGTGCATCCACTCTTTGTGTTCTCCCGAACTTTGATCTCCTTATTCCTCATTGTCTCTTTTTTTTCTCTTTCCAAATTTATTTCACTGGATTATACTTTTTAAATAACATCTCCAAACACTAATCTTCCCGATTACTGCTTATACTCTTATTACCTCTACCACTACGGGATTTGAATCGACAACTGCATCTCTGTGCTTATGTGGTGTGGCAACTCGAACTGATGTACGTACGTACGAAGTTCTACGTTGTTACTGACTGACTGACTGACATAACATTTATAGATGAGCGTTTTATGTTCTTCTTTATTCAAATGTATATTCATGGAAAGATTACGGCCTTTAAATCCCATTCGTATCTCAACTACTTTGCTTTTTTATTTTAGGTTAAACGTTTACTACTAATACATTTATAGGTAGCGTCAAAAATAAACCCAATATTTGAGCTAGAATTCCTATTCGTCCATACCAAATCATTTTCGAAATCCAATGACTGCATAGATTTCATTGTTTTATAAATTCCTGGTTTTAGTAACCCTAGTAAATTTAATTTATTACTGGTGTGTTAAACTACTATGTATGGTTCTCAAAACATGATCCTGATTATTGAACTTGTAGTAAAGGTGTCTGGCAGCATAAGATTTAGCATATTTGTAAAGTGTTTCTCAAAGCTTATACCTAAACCTATTCGTGAGCTTCCAGTTCTTTGATGTTTATCCTCCTTCCGTCCCTTGAGATATCATTTTCCAAACATAAGATCTCTTTAATATCCTTTCTACATGTATACTTTTCAGTTCACAAGATGCGGTTACTCATTCTTCTAAACGACACATGAAACAGTATATTGGTCCTGTCAACGGTTTTGTCCGTAATGTGTATTCGCATTCACATTATTTTTCAAAAAATGAATCACAAGATACAAATATGAATGGTCGAGTAAGGTCTTTTTATTCTTTAATTTCTTACATTCACTAAGGCTTTCAGTATTACTTTTTAAATGATGTCTCTTAATATAGTGTTGTAAATATGAGGTCACACACATTTTTACATGCCTAGTATTTAATAGGGATTTCGAAAACTGTAAGATATCATTTCTTTAATTATTGTTATTTTGATTTGCATTCAAAAGACGGTATATATGTTCTTACCGTACAACTGCGTTCATACTTGTCGACTATAAGCTGATTGAATTGAAATCAGTTTCCACTTAACACCAGAATACTGAATAAAACCATCAATGTTATTGTTGGGGATGCTAGATCTCAAGAACTCACTTGGTAAATGTCTTATTTTTGTAATTTTACTTTGGAAATTTGAATTTCTTGTTTTCGCATCAAAAGCTCCTATTTTCACCTTCATATCGTATTTCCCACTTGGCAAGACCTTAAACGTCAATGGTTCGTTGTCTCTTCTAATATGCTACTTTGTAACGTTTCCCAAGGACACTTCGATGCTATATATAAACGCTTGAGTTTTTCTCCTTGATGTTCGTGCTTCTGGCTGCCAGTGGAATACATTTTCCCTCTTCTGAACCCGGACTTCTCTCCCTAGTTAGCGCAACTGGAACGCATTGGAATAGTTTACTTATTTGGTCATTGTGTCACTGAGTCTTCTTTCCGTTCGCAGATTTGGGTGAACTCATAATCTCTTCAAAAATAGCAGTTATACAGGCCACTCCACTGACAGGCTTAAATACTACATAAATTATTGTCACTGAATATAGCCTGGTGAATAAAATTATTTTTGTCTTTGAATGATGAGAACTGGTGAGCTACTGAATATGAAGCAGAACTGAATGCTTGGTTTATCTTGGTTCGGTTCCACTCAGCCACACTAATCTCCTATTGCTTACTGACGTCGAATACAAGATCTATACACTCTTAGTAGTGGCTAGTTTGAAGTTTAATTCTGAACTTCCTGATGGCTTGTCCGAACCAGCGGAGTCCAACCATGTTAAGAGAGAAATGTAAAGAATGAGATATATTACCGATTGCACTGGATGATGGACCTCGATTGCAGTTAGAAATATGGACCATTAGATCCCAACCCAGTGATATTCTAATACAGTTTTCAATAGTATACAGGAAAAACGTTGGTGTGCACTATTATTTGGTAAAAATCCTAGTACTGAATGTATGTTTATTTTTCGCCAGATTTGTAGGGTTCTTCAGGGTTTTTTTGTCAGTCCGTAATGTGATGAATAGCGAATTCACATTTAAAAATATTTATTAACAAATTTAATTTATTGAGGTAGAAAGTTTACTTAATCTGAGCAAACTAAGACGTGTCATCAGTCCATGAAGACACTGACACTATCTGGCTGTGGTCCGCGAGATCATCGCAACCGATGCTTCGGGACTTTGAATGAAATAGCTCAAAATCGTTCGCAGTGGGGTAGCCTCATTCACTGATTGTCTTCCCTTAGACCCTAAGTTTCATAATTCCTAACAAAATTTATTACTATTATTTCACTTCTTTATATTTTGTCAAACAGTATCGGTGATACTTAATCTTTTTTATTACCACTTATACTGTTACTACCTCTACTATTCTGGGATTTGTCCTGACAATTTCATCTCATTGTGCCAATGGATTATGGCAAATCAAACCAATGTATACATATACCATGCTGTAAATTGTGTTGGACTTCCTAAACCTAAAAATACCGTCCGTCGAAATACATTGTTTTAGCAGTTGTGTGTCCCTATTATGACCTTAGTTTATGGCTTCAAAAGATGATTTCTCAAACACTGTGTTACCTTTGTTATTACTAAAGTAGATTATACAAAAACATGTGGATTAATATTATTGTCACTTTTCATATAATCTATTCTGAATAGCAACAAGGGTTATAATATTTGACTCAGGTGATTATATGTTGTACAGGAAGACTTGGTATCAGATGATTATGACCCTACTGTATGTTGTCGTCTTACACCTTTTAATAGCTGATAAATCACGTAACATGTCCATATATGCATGACAAAATATTTTTGAAGTGTTTATTTATTAGATAGATGATAGGTAGTCTTTGTAGTGATAATAATTAATTATATTCTATTCACAAAACCATTGATGTTTGTTTTTAGTTAGAAAGTTTTCAAACCTTTGACTATTAAGTTGCAGGTTTACCTATTGATGTGTGCTAATTTAATAAAGATTTATAAATTATGCAAGATTTTTATCTAATATCTCATTTAATAACTACATAGTTCAGTTAACAAATGTTGACTAGTTAATGAAACACGTATGAAAATAATGTAATATTTTGGACTCTTTATTTTTGGAAATAATGGTGACTACTTAAAATGTTAATTACATACTCGATCTACTGACAGAATAATCCTAATCTATTTTCAGATAAGTCCAATTAAGACTGTTGTGTCAAAGAAAAAATCCTAGTGTTTTATGTTTCAGATCACGACTAAGTTTCACCTCCGTTGATTGTGAGAAAACTGTGTTCGTAAGAAGCAACCTGTACAGCCAAGGACTAACTCACCAGAGTATTATACAGAATGGCGCGATTCCGAATCCATTAAAGTTCACCGATTACTCAGACTTAATTGCTTTTGTTTACTATAATTCTATGTTCCCGTTTAGCTTACAATTCACTCGTAATTTTTACAAACCAAGTGTTTTTTTTCATGTTTCTTCAACCTTTTAACAAGGATGATTATTCTGTATATTTTCTCTTTAATAAATTCAAGGGTCAAACAGCTTCGGAAACTGAATACTTTGATCGGATCAATAGCGATTTGGGGAGTGATGCTGATTCTTCATCTTGTCCAGATGAAGTAGAGTCCCCATCTCAACCTCGTGAAAATGAACTACGAAACTGGCAACACTCAAATTCCGTGCTAGATGTGAATCCAGACGCAGCTGAGAAATTTCACACAGTTAATAAAAAACAAGTATCAGGCCGATCTGATTATCATTCTTGCATTAGTGAGCATTATTGTCCAGAATGTTCTTCACATCTTAATGTTTTTCTATCACCAACCACTGATTCAGGACAAATGAATAGTTTCGACGATCTCAAAGGTGTCATGAATAATCAAAAGCCTACTGAATCTCATGAATTGTATGAATCACTACAATCTGTAAATGCCAATGGGAAAAATGAATCTTTATCGAATGTTTATGAAGAAATTCTACATTCAACAGACTTTGAAGTAAAGGAAAAACTGCTAGATAACCAAATGACCAAGAAAAATCTTAGTAATATTCAAATTAATTCTCATTTAGTAGGTGTTATATTTTGTGCATTATTTTTATTATAATATAATCCAATGAGTTGTTAGATTAGCTAAAACTTAAGTTAATGGGATTTATGGCATATTTTATACCAAAGTTTATTTAAGATTACCTATGATATATATAAGAATTTGTGCTTTAAACATGTTACTTTCTATGTTTTTGAAGTATATTTTTGTCTTGAATTCGTTATTTAGATCACAATTTATGAATTCTGGTTTGTTAGAGATACGAAAATAATTTGGCTGTCAGGTACATTGTAATTCAACATCTTGTAAGCTGACAATTATCTAAAGGACTATGAAATCTCGTGAACATTGATTAAAGTAATTAAAGTAGACTGGAAATTCTCATCCATTGTTTTTAAATTATAGTCTAAGTTGATGAAGTATAGTCACAAAAAATCATGATCTCATAAGTTTGTTTTCTGCTATTCAGTATTTATGTTTTAACTATAGCATCTTAATACGTTGAAGGGGGTATCTCATCCATATTTAAACCACTAGACATACCTTTTCACATTTTAGAACCTCGTATCTGAATGATTTATACGGAATATAATTCACTTATTGTTGAGAAATGAAAGAGTTTGTCAATGAGAAATATTCACAACAATCGTTTTTCCAAGAAAACAGACCACGATGTAGCAACAAAAACTCAATCAGTTAACCATATTCAGGTTGGAAATTAGCACGTTTCAATTATCTGCAATAAATTAGTAAATTCTATACTTTATTGCCTAATATTACATTGACGTTATAGTGATTTACTATTTTATCACAATCAAATTGTATTCGTAACACTTTCTTGTAACTGTAGTTTCATTTTGATTTTGATAATTATTCAACTATTTTCAATTTAGTGGCAGTATATATAAATATTCTTGCCCTATAATTTTTGTTATTTGTTTGAAACTACTCGTTACTTTATGTTCATATTTATAGAAAAGAGATTCAAATGGTCATGAGAATTCATTACCTTCAAAAGTTGATACTGGTATGTTTTTTTTCTTAACTATTTGCAACTTAGTATACTTATATTCATTTATTTCTTGATATTCTAGCATATCTAATTAATAAGCGAAATATACTTGTAGTTTGATGGTTGGACGTCTATATACTCATGGTATTTTGTTGTCATACCATTATTTTGGTAAGATTATATGAAACGATCTTCCAAAAGTACTTTCGAAACGTAGTTTCTGTGAGGTTTTTGTCTAGTGTACCAAATGGCTTATTGGTATCTTTATGAATAATTTGTTTCCATTTGGATACATTTGGGTGGAGACTTGGTGACTTATTGCAGTAACAGGATTTTTTTTAAATTTAAGCAACTTATTAGTCACACTGCTGGGACCATCGAGTAAGTAATGCAGTGGTTAGGAAACGGGTAGCAGGTAAGGATGGCAAATCAATTGATGAAGTAGTGAAACTTGATCAGTTGAGATGGCTGGGACACGTGTTACGTATGCTCAACGACCGACTGCCTCGACGTGCTATGTTCAGTGGTATAGGAGTAGGTTGGAAGAAAGCTAGGGGCGGCTAAACCAAAACATGGCACAAGTCCATGAAGTCACTGACAAGTGAACTGAGTCATGTTGGTAGGTGTAGACTACCTATTTGGGACCACGAGATGATAGCAACCGATGGTTAGAGACCTTGAATGACATGGCTCAAAATCGTTTGCAATGGCGCAGGTGCATCCACTCTTTGTGTTCTCCCGAACTTTGATCTCCTTATTCCTCATTGTCTCTTTTTTTTCTCTTTCCAAATTTATTTCACTGGATTATACTTTTTAAATAACATCTCCAAACACTAATCTTCCCGATTACTGCTTATACTCTTATTACCTCTACCACTACGGGATTTGAATCGACAACTGCATCTCTGTGCTTATGTGGTGTGGCAACTCGAACTGATGTACGTACGTACGAAGTTCTACGTTGTTACTGACTGACTGACTGAGTCACACAGAGTTCCATGTTCCCACAGTTTGAATTTACCCCGTTACGTAGATAAAGAATTTCCGCACCTGCGACTCACTTTAGTTGTTTTTAACGACCAAACTTTCTATGCTGTTTGTATATGACAGATTGTTGTATGTGTACTACATAAAGAAATCTCTTGTTACACTTATTCTAAGTTTTGTAACATAATTGTAATCGAAAGTTCTCTTATGTCATTTATGCGAATACTCGTCAATGTTAGAAAGAATAGTTTGACAAAAATTGGGCGTCCATTATAGAAAAGTCAACATACGTGAAAAATATATTTGAAATGATTTCAGCGATTGAAATTTAAATAATTCCAACGTTTCGTCCAGCAAACTTGATTATCACTATGAAGAAGTCCAGACATCTCTTATATCAGTCTTATCTATCGGATTGAAACTTTATGAGTAATCTCAAGACTGATTTCTGCCTTGATGAATACATATAGTTAATCATCATCATATTTAGACATCTATAGCTTTCTTCTAATATTAATGAAATTGTTAAAACCAATAGTTAATGTAATGTATATTCATCAAGGTGTACCATATTTTATCTTTCATTATCAGACTTCTTAGGTTAACTTCTTTACTTTTTGTCACGTTGATTTTCTCACATTTTGTTCATAAGGAATGTTGAAACTTATTAATTCTTCATACTTTCATTTTCATTAGTTCGTTGTTATATGTGGGCCGGACAGAAACTGTCGAAATTCAATTTATCCATGTTAGATATTGGGAAGAATGTGATATATGTGAGTATATTTTGATGAATATTAACAAATATTTTTATTGACATTTTCCATATAATAATTCTTTTTATCATCGTATCACAATGTATTAAAAGATGTCCATACTTCTATACTTGATTTTTGAGGTTTTACAATCCAGTTATATTGGCGATACTAATTTACAGACGAACCAGTCAGATCTAGGATAACAGGTCTCGGATCTCGACGCGAAATTAATTCACTCATTTGTCTAAATGACGTTTTGTCATTTCAGCTGATGTCAATTCGTGATAAAAATTATAAATTTAATTCCTAACCATAACCATCAATTGTAAATCTTAATCCTGATTCTTCATACTGCTTTATAACCTTCATTAAGCTCTAATAAGTAGGTGGATATTCTCAGGGTCACTTTAGCGTTGCTGAAAGGTCATCCATAAATTATAGTCTCATGGTTATATTAACCGGCTACTTGAATTAAAGTAGTTGATTTGAAGTTAAAACATGCGCTCTAAGGAAGCTGAATCAAAATCAATCCTCCGTAAACTAAGTGATAAATCGTTGATTGTCACTTTCTGTTAAATGATGAGACGGCTCTCTTTGATTTCTTTTTTTTCTATGTGAGGGTTTGTTGTGACTTGAACTTGGATCGATTTTTACCCCGTGCCAATTATTGTGTCCTTGACTGAAAGATTAGAGCGCAATGTATTATCGATCAGATCAATGACACGTAAAACCTAGAGTCCCGATTGGCCCTGCTTCGCCGTCTAGCCCAGCCAGTTGAGTCCGGAACACAAGTCTCAGCCTCTGAGTTATGAATCATTGTATTTCAAGCATACTCTGTTTATATACCAATCAACCCGACCACAACGTGCCAATAAAATAGAAAATAACATTTGTACAATAATTAGCCAGAAGTGGCTGTGAACGAGGGAGTTAGCGATTAACAGATAGGGAATAATTCATGAATGGTGAATCGTCCAATAGTAGTTCATAGGTCAGCATAAAGCTCATAATAAGAGGGGTATGAATATGGACAGTTTAGTTACATAACAATTATACGATAAAATATACTCATAATATTGTTCCATAATTGGATCCCAAAAATTACCATTCATTATTCTTATCGGGACACAACAGGGTTCTTTTCCAGTTTTTCCTTTTAGTTTTTCTAAACCTTTTCAGAAAGTTCATTAGAATTATGGACAGTTGGGTGTTGTTTGTTTAATCCAATCACTTTCAAAAATATATAAACATTAGTATAGGCTGAGACATACACCTGGGATTTTCTAAAGTAGTAATGGTACTTAACAGATGATAATTGAAATGAGCTCACAACACTAAGTTCAATTAGATTTGTTTTATGAATATTCCAAATATTATATGTCTGTCTTACTTTAATGAGTCATATGAATTAAAATCCCCACATACCATTGAAAGTGAACCATTAAAGGCAGTAACAGCAAATTCAGTGAATTCATCAGCGAAAATGGATTGTGCAGTCCGGAGTGCGTAGATGTTGGTCATTCAAAAACTTGAAACATGGGAAAGTAGATTGACACTAGTTCACGGTTGTAGTGGCTTAGCTTCGTTAATCAATCATCTTGATAACCGTTAACATATAAATCCCCGACGGCG